TGTTTTAAATTTGCCTCTGTGCGTCGGTGATTTGTGTTTTTTATAAGGTCCAAGTAATGAGATTTCCGGGCTGTCTTGTTTGAAAAGAGAGTAAAATTTCAGTTTCTTATTTAGTTAATTGAGAGAGGATTGATGTGTTTTAGCTATCTTAAATATTTTTTGTCAATTTAGATATCTCTAATTTATTTATTTGTTGAATATCATCAAGTCCTGTTGTGTTTGTTCCTTCTTTGTAAAACTGTGAGCGTATTTGGTGTGCGGCAGAGATAAAGGAATGATTTCCCGCATTTGCTAATTTTTTTGATATGATGAGACACTGCTTCGCGATGCTATTTTCGGGTAGTTCTTCTAAATGTTGCCAGAACTTGAAGATATTCAAATAAATTGTGGGCTTTAAAGATGTTTGCCCAATTTGAACTTGAACTTGGTTTGAGCGACAACATCGGAAGCCCTTTTGTTTAATCCAAGAAAGTATTTATAAAAATTGGCAGTGAAGTCTTTCTACAGGGTCCTGTTCCCATGCATATATCAAGATTCAGTTTGTCCTACGCACCCCATACCTCTGAGGTATACAACAATATAGGTTTGAACAGTGCGTTAAAGAGTTTGTTGCAAGTATCCATTGATAATTTTGGAAGTCAAGAAAACTTTTTATTGCAAAATTACAGCGTCTCCAATTTTTCGACTTATACTGTTGTTGTTGTCATTGTTGTTGCCGCTATGGCTATTTTAGTTGTTGTTTTTATATTTCACCATTGTTGATGTTGTTTTTCAATTTTTGCCCTCCCCGTTACTGATTTCAATAAAAAACAAATATTCTGCATCGTTGAGCGTAGGCGTCTTAGGGCCTGTTTACATGGAGTGGGGGACCCCGGTCTAGTGGGGTTGGTTTCTTTTGTTTTCACGCTTTGGGGGACACAAAACAAAAGAAACCTACCCCACTAAACCGGGGTACCCCACTCCTTGTAAACAGGGCCTAAGGTAAGCAGCTCGTGTCTAACCAATAAAATGCTCAAACTACAAATCAGTTTTCTTACGCTCTATAGTCTTCTTGTACATCGAATATACCGAGGAACGAAACTGTTAACACCGCTGAGAGCAGAACTCCTATAATTCAGGACATTCTAGCCACTGATAGCTTTTATGCCTTGTTAACGCTAAAATTAGCAGTGGAAGAAAGAGATAACTTTTTTTGTTTTCAAAATTCTGGCCGCAGCACGTGCGTGCGTGGTTGACAAAGATCAAACGG